CCCCCCCCCGTCTCCTGTGTTCTACATCGGCGGCAGGCCAGCCGCTGCTCCGCAGCAGCAGGCACAACGGCCGTCTATACGTCGCGTCGAATCCTCCTCCCTCCCTTCCCTCCGCGGCTTCATGTCCTTCCACCGTTTCCCCTCCCAACTGCCTTAGTATTATTATTATCCTCATTCTTCTTCTTCTTCTCCTCCAAATCTACCTCGTCCCTCATCCCTCATCCCTCATCCCTCTTCACACTTCTTCCTTGATTTCTTCTTATGTTTTTTCTTCTTCTTCTTCTTCTTCTTTTTCTTATGTTTCTTCTTATCCGTCTTTGCTCCTCCTCCGTTTCCCCCCTCCTTCCTCCTCCTCCTCCTCCTCCTCCTCCTCCTCCTCCGCCTCCTCCTCCTCCTCCTCCTCCTCCTCCTCCTCCTCCTCCTCCTCCTCCTCCTCCTCCCCTTTCCTCCTCCTCTCTCGTTCCTCTCCCTCCTCCCTCACTCCTCCGTTCTCCGTCAGGTTTCCCGCTGTGCGCATTTCACCGCCCGAAGCGAAAGTGGAGACTCGGCTGGGCACTGCACAATTGACAAAGGCCCTCAAGGACAGCCCGCCGCAGCCAACCGGCGGTGAAACCGGCAGCAAAACGGCCACGGCGACAGCCGAATGGTTGCTTGTGTTTTTTTTTTCTGCAGAAGAAGGCAACGCTGGCAATAGCGCGTGTGAAGCCGTGGCAACACGGGCTTCCGACATACCCCAGTTGCGCCGCCGCAGCAGGACGCGGCGGCCCAGGGCACGCACTTTTTGGACGGACGATGCCTGCGCTTGCGGCGTGCACGAGGAGTGGCTCATACAAAAAGCTGCCCCCGCCCGTCCGCGACGACTATGACACCGCTAGCGCGAAACGCCTCGGCGCCGCCCCCCGGTCGTCCGCCCCACACCCCCGACGCCGTGACTTTTTCGCAGCGTCGACCCCCAAAGGTCTGGACCCCCTCCCCGGCACCCGTTTTCCATCCCGAATCATGTCTGACGCTCCCGAGGCCCGGTAACCCAGGGGCCTCCAGCTGGCCATCGCTCGGACGTCCGTTCCCTGTGTTTTTTCGGTTTCGTGCGTGTTTTTTTCGCCACTTGGTCCACGATGGTCCTGGATGGTCCTCGCCGAAGAAAAAATGCACACGTCCGAGCGATGCCAAGCCAGAGGCCGAACATCGAGAAGCACCTCCCGCCGTGACTCCTCACGACGCGAGGGGGCCTGGGACCGCCTCGGCGCCGCCCCCCCGTCGTCCGCCGGCGGTCGCGCCGCCGCGGCCTCCGTCGACGGCTGGCGCCACGGCCGCGCCGGGCTCCGAGGCCGAGGCCGCGGCCGCCGCCGCGGCCTCGGGGCGCCGCCGCCGCGCCTATCGGCGCAGCTCTGCGCGGCACTCCTCGAGGGCGTCCCGCCCCTCGGGGGGCGCGCCGCCGGGGCAGCCCGGCGGCCTCGGCGGCGCCGCGGGCCGCCCCCAGGCCGGTGGGCCGGGGCCGCTCGCCGTCCGCGCGCGCGCGCGGGCGCCAGCTGCAAGCCCGCGGCGCGTGAGCCGCGGCGGGTCTCAGACCTCCTCGCGTTGTGAAGCCATCGCGGCGGGAGATTTTTCGCT